AGAGACGGTAGCCAACGAGGGACCGAAGATCTCCAGAACCAATTTCGCTTAATCCACAACGGTTGCACAGTCAGCAGCCCGTCGGCCAAAGAAATCGCCGTCCCAAGGCCAAGGCCCGCTGTCCCTGAATAGTCTCGTTGGTCATAATTATTCGATCGCGCCCAAGGCCTCTCCTTACGGAGGTCTTTATCCATGGATGTACACCGGGCTAAGGTCCAGGATACCGGCCAAAAAATTAAAAACAAACACAAACACACTTTGAAACAGCTGGAAGCTTGTGCACCTACCTACTCCTACGAAGGGAGGAGAGGTTTGTTTATATCCGTTGGATAATCCTTTGAATCAAAACAGTAACAGGAATGTACCCCATAGACGGAGTACATCCATTGTCCCACGGACTACGGAGTCGATACGTCGTCACTCGTCACTCGATTCCCGATCGTAAGACCGGACTCGAGGTCTTTATGTATCAAGCTCGGACAATAGCCGCAGAGGCCAACAGCTAGCTGCGACATAGTCCCCCCGTAGTCAGCCAACATCGGCCTTACTAAGTTAGTTGGCGTCTAGCTCTCCCCAACCCGTCGACTATGAATAAGTCTATCCGTACCAGCCATCTCAATAATTATTCCTTTACTGTCAGACCCCGAACTGGGAGCAGTTGCGAGGATAATTCCTCTGAAACAACTGTCATCTTTGTTCTACCTCGAAACCATGCACCTGCATGAGGGTCGAGAGGGGATGAAAGACATACATTCATGCACACATAACTACCCCGGACAAGAATCCAAGGCACACTCCCCTCGTATCTCGTAATCAGATAAACAAGCTGACCTCCCAATCCCATGCTCCCACTGACATTTGAGAAGGAGAATGATGTGCAGGTCTAGAGGTAATAATTGGGCACGCGAAACCATGCCTGAAATGGAAAGGGAGCGATTAATATTACCGTCCCATACGGTACGGCCGAGCAGCCGTACGATACGATGCACCAGGGAAAGGAAGAAAGAAAGAAGATCACGGCAAGCCGCACCGGACTGGATGATCAGTCTGCATCCGAGAGGTGCATAAAATTTTTTAAAAAAAGGAGGGAGACTGAGCAATTAAGCTTGGGATGCAGTCCTGGCAGCTGACCGGACACACGTTCACTTGGTGTTTTTAACGGCATCTCGAGGGCTCCTTACTTCCGCTTACGACAAATCGTACTGAAGTTTCCGCTTTGGCCCCAACAGGTCTCCCCCCTTCCTATCCTCGTTGATGACTGCTAAGATTAAAGGGATGAATCTTGCGATCGGCCTCTCTTGGTTGATTTGAACACCACGTATCCCAATCTCCCCAGCAGGCAGTGCATACGTACTATTTAAATTTACGGGGTCCTTCTATCCCCGTTCTATTATAATTCTGACCTCGTATTCGTTCAGCGCAAGGCCACGCAGAAATAAGATGAGAGACAGACAACTAGACGATAGATAATGTTGGTTGCCTGGCCCTGGGTGGGTTCGCCGGGAATTATGAGAGCTTGGACCAGCCGGCGCCAAGCAGGAATAACGAGAGGATCAGTTGAGGCCTGGAGATCATCCACCACAACAAGCTGGGCAGCGGTGGTTACTTGATTGATGATTCCCTTGTGCCTCTCCCGAAGTATTGTTGCCATACTCCGTGCTCTGTAAAACATGCACCCAAATTTTGTCTGTCTCTCTTTTGTGACGCGACAAATTAATCTATTGTCCCGCTCTTGACAATCTAGAATTCTCGATAGATTAATTACCGGAAATGCTGGTATCCCACCGTTCCCGTGCATTACATCATGGCCGTTAGACAGGGAACAATCAAGTCGAGTACATCATAGTACATCATCGATATCAGGATATCCGTGGATCCCAAACCTGCGCTTCTCGTTCGGGAGAGATACATGCAACCGACATGAAATCGGCTGATACGACTGTCTCCCCTCTTTTCACAACCGAGCTTTTCTTCAACTTTTGGCCGTGGCTGACCGACTCGAGGGGACTGGGTGCATCAGGTGATGCTAGCCGCCCGCTCCCTCGAACGGCGAGTCAGCCTGAATCCTGCATGAGGTCATCCCGCAGATATTAGTTAACTCAATCACGGTCGTCTGGTCTAGATGGATGGAGCACCCCGTCGCTTGAAGATGATTCATAACATTGTCACAATCTATGGCGACCCGGTCTTTGCTGCTGTTCTCGGTCGCCGAACAGAGTTCGTCGATTCAACTCCATTGAGTTTGAGTTTGCCTTTGCTTCCCCAGAACAAGATGGACGTCTCAACCAGGAGTCCATCCTGCACATCCTGCAATCGGCGCAGTTCTCCAACTGGCAGATCGGCTCTTATTGGTCTAGAATAATCGATCAGCGAATGTCTATCACAGCTTAGGGTGACAACTCCGCAGATAGGAACTGCGTTGCCCTTTCCCCAGGTATGCCATTCAAGTTGATCAACAGGTAATCGACGATACGGGATATCAAGTATCCGTACGACCTGTTTCATATCTTTACAAAAGGGAACAACGAGGAGATTCGAGGCTGAATCACATCCATTTGTTACACCTGCCTGATGTCGCACGAGGCAAGGTACCTTGCACAGTGGTCCATGCGTTGTCAACACTCAACGACCGTGTTCAGGGTCAGACTCCGGAGCAACAAGGGCTGAGATTCTGGGCTGAGATTCTCAAGCCGACCGATTGTCTCAGAAGGTCTCTGCCACCAATGCAACCCAGACCTTCGCAGTCGGTCGGCAAACTTAGTTCTCTTGCTCCAAGCTTATTACCTTTCTTCCTTGTAAAACTATCTAGTTAAATAAGTAACTAGCCAAACATCTTGCTGAATCAGCAGAAAATGGCAACGTGGGTGAGTGGTTAAGCCGTAAGACTCGAATTAATTCGACGATATCTTATCCCTTCGGGGTCGCAAGTTCGAATCTTGTCGTTGTCGATTCTCTTTACATTTTTTGCATTTGGTCTATCCTGCCTTTGTCTTTGAATTGATATCGACTGTACGGAACTATCTCTGTATACCACTAGCAAGTCGGGCCATGCGGTTTGATTCGCAGACATTGAGTGGTACCATCAAGTATATCATCCATCTACACACATAACCAGCCACCCCAGAAGCAGTCAATCAACCCTAATTTCGTCAACAGGATTCAAAGTTTTTAAACAGACTTCATCCATTCTATACGGAGTACAGTAACATTAATACCACTGTTATCCCTTTCGTATTAAATACGAACACACATACATAATACATACATACCTCCAGTACAACCCAACGGAACAATGACATCTCTAAGAACTTCTCGAATATAGGTAGGGCGCAGCACATAACGAACCACACCCCACATAATTGGCGGATCTGAAACGACAAGGCATTCATTCCAGCCTACCTAGCAGTTACTAATACTAACTTAATTCATAATGAGGCGCTGCTGGCAGCTAACTGCCCGTGGCAGTGCCCCTTGCCAAGTACGTAGCCCCCGGGTCCGTAATTGGTAGCTCGGCGGAGGGCGAGAAATCCTTCCGCCTAAACACACCCAGCTATTAATTAATACTAGGTAGGCTAAACGGAATGAAATGAACGAGACGGTATGAGACCATCGAGCTTCGGAGAATGTGCTGGTTCCACGGCTCTGGGCCCTAGTTGGATGGATCATGAATCCTATCAAGGGCGCAGCGGCTACGTAGGTGTTGATTTAAGAAATTGGGGCGCGGCGGCGGCGTGGAATGTGGCTTGTACATTCTTCGTTCGTTCGTGCCTTTTGATATAGGTGCCTACGATACAAATAAGTAAACATTGGGAGAGGTATTCGTGGGCTCTGTGTAATGCAGACAGAACAGAAATAGAATGGAGAGAATATATGGATGCCTATAGTTAAGATGGCGGTGTTGGCGGTGGGCGGTTGTCGTTCTATTTTGGTAAGTAGATTGACCGTTTGCGATCTATGATGTACAAGCCTTGGCCTTGGCATTTGCTTCTATGGCCGTGGGCTCGATAATGATTTATGGATCAATATTGAGGTCATAGAAAGGGGTGGGAACAATACTCTGCATCAACTCTTTCAAATGAGAGTGTATGAGCACTCTGTAACCCTACTATATACTCCGTACATGGGTAAGTGAGGGGGCGTAAATTGCCAACAGGTCGTCCTTGCATTTGGTTAGACGGTTAGATTGGATTTAATAGAAGTATGCGGGGTCAATTAAATAAAAGTACTGTCCAAAGTGTGTGGCTTGCTTTCTATGATCCCTGACTGTTGTTGTCGTGCCCCTTGCTCTTGTGGGCGTCTTTATTGTTGAACAATGTTCGGCAGACACAAGGGCCAAGATTCCCACCAAACCTAATTGTACTCAGAGCGTCTTCCTGGCCTAATCTATGACCACTTGTAAAGACGCATATACTACGTGTGTTCTCCGCGGACATCTTTCTCTATAGAGTGAATCCCCGCACTGGGAACGGGTGCAACCCTAAAACTACCATGCGGCATCATGTAACCTACGTCATCTAGAAGGATCGAGAAGTCGTTCTTGCTCGGCTCCCTGAATCTCTCCACCGGTGCATTTCCTAAACCGTCGAGTCCCTGCATGTTGGTCGTGTCCTGTCTCAGTTTGCTCTGTCTCAGTTTCACGTCACTGAAGCTATTATGTCCACTCCCAGATGATTTCAAGAAATGGCTCTCATTCATCGGGTCTATGGTTTACTAATGCAACGGAACTTCACCAGGATGAATATCCATAGGTTGGTACTCGCCAAGGTTGTTTTTCCGACCAAGAAGCTTGATCTATAATGGACATACGAGCATCCCTCATAAAATCGCCTCAATCATGTCGATGGGCTCCATTCTTCCGTCGGGATTATTATCCCAGACAAACGATGCAGATCTGCTGGCTTCCCCGCATGGCCTGATGATAGCGAAGTCCTCATATTTCAGAGGCTGTAGGCACTCCACAGAGGACCGAAAAGTTCAATGGTTCAAGAATATTGATCACTATGATGATACGTAATCTTATACTCATGCTCTCTGCTGCGACGGCTACCGCACAGCCGAACCATACTACTCGTATGAGCACTTCTCGCTAATCTAGCAAACATCTCGCTTACCAGATGCAGTGGCCCAGCCCCTATACACTCCTCTCACCCTGGGCTCCATCAAGCCGCAGGGATGGCTCAAGGACCAGCTCGAGCTTGGAGCCAACGGGCTCGGAGGCAACATGTTCGAGTTTTACCGCTTCGTTCATAACTCCCGATGGATCGGCGGCGAGGACGAGTATTCCGGGCTCGCTGAAGCCTCTCCGTATTGGTTCAACGGAGTCGTGCCGCTGGCTTTTGGGCTGGACGACGACAGATTAAAGGACCAAGTCAGGTATTACCTGGATTACGTGCTTGACCATCAGCAGGAGGATGGTTGGCTCGGATTCGAGACCACACCCCAGGAGCGAGGACTCTGGGGAAGATGTCTGCTCCTGCTTGGTTTGATTGTCAGCATCAGTTCCCCAAAACAAGGAATAACAGCTAACCTCTGTAGCAATATGCGGAAGCCGATTCGACCCAGACCGACAGGATCGTCGACGCGATGCATCGGTACGTTCGGATCGCGCACAGTATGCTCCAGAACAACTTCACCGGTTTGATCCAGCACCCTGGCGACACCTTTGATGCATCGGGGTTTGGCGCCGGGCGTACCCACGAGCTTCACATTCCCTTGCAATGGCTGTATGAGAAGTACCCGCGAAACAACTCTCGACTGCTCTGGGACACGATGGACCTTATGATTGCTGGCGGCATCAAGGCCGAAGCCGACTGGAGGACGTTCTGGACGCCGGATGCCTATCCGAAAGTGCTGGAGGGTGACGACTGGGACATGAGCTGGGTGTTTATTCACGGCGTGAACATGGCTCAAGGCATGCATCTTTTGTTCCCTCCTAATATCACAACTCCAGCTGACGAACGCTAGGTCTGCGGTTCCCCCTGGCCATCTACCGCAACACGCACGAGGAGAAATTAAAGACTCAGACGCGGACGGCGTTGGATCTGCTGTCTCGATACCACACGTCGCTGGCGGGAGCCATCATCGCCGATGAGTACATCACCGACCTGAGTCCCACCAAAGGCTCGGAACTCTGCATTGCTGCCGAGATGATGTTCTCTCTGAACTGGATCTACCAGTACCTCGGGGACAACGACATCGCCGACTGGGCCGAACTGACGGCATTCAATGCGCTCCCGGCTGCCATCTCCCCGGACTGGTGGGCCCATCAGTACGTGCAGCAGGAAAACCAGCCCTATTCCCACCCCGTGGACCCTGACGTGTGGACCATCAATGGCCCTCGCGCCAACATCTTCGGTCTCGAGCCGGAATATGTAAGAACCACCCCTTATTCCTCCCCCATGCAATGCACAAGATCCTTTCTGACCCTATAAAGCCCTGCTGCCTGGTCAACCACCCCCAAGCATACCCCAAATTCCTCGCCAACCAGTTCGTCCGCACTGCCGAGGGTCTGGCGCACATTTACCTCACCCCGGGCACGGTCTCCACCACCCTCGACAAGGCCAAGAACCACCGGGTCTCCATCTCTGTCGACACGCAGTACCCTTTCGCCTTCAACTGGACCTACACCATCACCAACTCCCACGCCTTCCCCTTCTCCATCCGTATCCCCTCCTGGGCAGGCCCCGAAAGCCGCATCCAAGTCAACCAGCAATCCCCCAAGCCCCTCTCCCCCTCCCGCCAGGGCCTGCACACGATCTCCATCCCCGCCAGCTCATCCCCCACAACCCTCACGCTAACCCTCACCACCACGCCCCGCGTCGTCTCCCTCCCTAACAACACCGCCGCTATCTACTACGGGCCTCTCCTCTTCGCGCTCGCCGTCTCCAACTCCCCCACTAAATCCCCTCCGATCGACTACACCAACATCACCACGGAACTACCCACCAACACCACCTCCCCGGGCCACACCTTCGACATCACCCTACACCCCACCTCGCCGTGGAACGTGGCCATCGACCCTTCGCAGATTGAGATCGTCACGAAGAACATCGATCGTCTGCAGAACCCGATCTGGGATCTCGGGGCCCCGCCGATCGAGCTGCGCGTGGCGGCCGTGCAGATCGATTGGCCGCTTAAGTATGGGACTGCGGATGAGCCGCCGGTGGATGTGAATGTCACCAGGAAGCCGTTTAGTGCGCGGTTTGTGCCGTATGCGAGTGCGAAGCTGCATATGGCGAGGTTGCCGGTCGTGGAGTTAGAGAAGGTGGATTTGAGAGGTCGGAGTGGTTGATCTGACCTGGATGGATAGGATGGGATGAGATGAGATGGGGTTCTTACGGAGTTTGCTGTGGGATTTGTTCGTGTTGATGGTGTTTAGTAGGTGTGTAGGTGTTGGTGATACCAAGTAGGTGCATAGGTGTACAGTGTATGTAGTAGTTATTGGTATCTGTAGTAGTATCGTATATCACATATCGATAGTGAAGTGACTGACTGATGGGCGATAAATCCATACCGGTGCGCATGTAGGTATGTACATTATACATGTACACTCGAGACTCTCTCTGTCAGTCAGTCTGTTTGTGCTCCTCATCCCAATTCCGTATAATCCAATCCAATCCAGTCCAATCCAAGCTTTTCTTCCAAAACCAAAACCTCCCAAAAGGACACCAAAAATCCTACGAACTCGCCAACATCTGAAACCCCTTCACCAAACCCATCGCCGAGCCCGCCGCAATCCCACCCACAAGAACCATCTGCACGCCCCCCACGACACCCCCTCTAACATTCCTCTTCCCTTTCCACCCACTCACAAAACACGTCTTTCCATATCCGAACAAAAACAACGCCACGACCATCGTCGCAATCGACCATTTAAGCGCTAGATAGGCGTCTGTCGGCCCGACAAAGAAATACGGGACCAGGGGCACGAACCCGCCGATGAAATAGCCTAGGGCAATGGTGAGGGCGCAGACGAGGGCGCGCGAGCCGGACGGCTCGGGCATGGTGTGGTGGAAGTTCATGAGGAAGGAGGGGAGCATGGGGGAGGTGGAGAGGTGGGCAGTGAGTTCGGAGACGAGCGCGGGGGGAAGGTCGTAGGGGGTGAAGATTGAGGTGATGGTATCGGTGGTGGAGGATGGATTGGTGAGGATTTCGGTTGAGGTTTCTTGGTAGGTTGCGTGGTAGGATTGTCTATTGATGGTTCGTGGTGGTTAGTTAGGTCCTGGGATATGGGTTGGAGATTGAGGTGCTTTTTTGGGGGCAGATGAAAGGGAAAGAGCTAGAAAAGGAATAGCACTCACTCTTCACTCTTCGCGCCTAGATAGCCCCCCAATCCCATCGAAATGGCGCCTGCGATCAGCTCCGCCAGCCCACCAAAGACTACGACCTTGGTGTCACCGAGGGCTGAAAGACCCGCCGTGAGAGCGAATGGCACGGTCATGCCGTCGGACAAGCCGATGATGGCATCGGAGACGGTGCGGCCGTCGAAGAACCTCGACTCTTTCTTCTCGGTTGGGCTGGAACTTGACTGGCCGGAGCTGGACTCGAGGTCGCTGCTGGCGTCATTTTGTAGGGGGAGCTGGTACTCTTTTTCTAGATCGGGGGAGTATTCGGAGATGGGCGAGTAGCTGGAAAGCAGGCCCTTGAGGGAGGAGATGGACATTTTGAGAGGATGTCGACCGTGAGATCGGGGATGAGGAGAGGGGAGGAGAGGAGACAAAATGTATAGAGGTAGATAGGTAGGTAGGTAGGTAGGTAGGTAGGTAGGTAGGTAGGTAGGTAGTGAGGGAATCCGTCTTCAGATTGATGGAATAAATACTATGAACAAAGTCGCCCGACTCCACTTCGTGAGGTCAAGCACAACGGCAAGTTGTAGAAGCGAGGACGAAGAACTAGATAACCGGATATCCAAGAGTCAATCAGAGCGCAGAGGACCGTCGCGTGTTCCTTATCAGGTGGCCTATCGAGGTAGAATGACCGACAACGTGCCGGAGGGGCTGGTGGTCATCTGCTGCGGAGGAGGGGAAGGTGCCGGCACGTGGGCCTCTGATTGGTCTCGGCTCGGGGATGCGGACCCACTATGAAGTGGAGACCCTGAAAGCTTGGGACAGCCCAGATCAGCTTACTAAGCCTATCTAGGCAGGAAGGGTGGGTGCTGGTATTCAGCAGCCTCCAATCACACTTGGGGAGATTATCCTCGGAGCATCTGGCTGGCGAACGGGCGGACGGGCAGACGGGGAAGAGACCCGCTTCTGGACATTCCAGTGTGATTGGGTTGGGCCCTTGCATTCCTGCATTTTGGTCTACATTGTCAATCTGTCTGGGTTCTTTGCCTTCCCGCCACATTGAAGTCTGTCGAGCATGGGCGGTAAGGAGACTGCCGACTAGTGAGTTAGTTAATGGACCACCGTCTGCCGTCACAATTCTCCGGGAGGTTCTTCTTCTGCTACCTGCCTGTTAGGGCATCGACTTCATCGAATGCCATTATCTCCGACGCAGCTGAGCTCGGAGGTCTGCTATCGCTCTCACCGCGGCATCCAGTGAACTAGCCTCGACGGATTGCTCACACGACCGCCGGAGCCCTCCGCACTTCCTCCTGCAACGATGTCTCACGAGGCTGGTGTTCCGCGCATGCGCAATGAGCACCATGGGCCTTACCTATCATCTGGCGGTGAAAGCGCGGAATGCCCCGTATCTCGATCCCTGCCGCTGCGCATATCTTGCGGTGGAGGGCATGCTGGAATGTCATCGGAGACGCGACGAGATACCGATCGACTGCGGATGGGTTGGAATGGAAATAAATATCGCCACACCGGCAATGAGGACAGAAAGGCCAAAAGGATTCAATCGCATCGGAACAACCTGAGACGATTGAGCAACCGTCATGAAATCGCCTATTGTCCTAGTACCGGCGCTGGTCGCGTGCGCTTCCGCACTCCCTCATTCGCGGAAAGATGAAGTCTGGAGTGATCTCCGATCCAATGTCGGTACCTCATATCATCACATCACCTTACCTCATCGGCACTCCGACGCAGAGCAGAAACATTGACCGTCTAATTCAGATCAAACATGTCATCTACCTGATGATGGAGAACCACTCCTTCGACAACATCGCCGGGTACTGGGACTTCCATCCGGATATCGACAACCTGCGCAACGTCACCTACTGCAACGAGTACACCAACCCCAACTGGACAGTCTGGGATGAGCCGCTGAACATTTGCGCCGCGCCCTTCGAGACCGAGGTACCGCTTGCCGACCCGGACCATGAATTCGCCGGCGTCACATACCAGATCTATCGGACATGGGACGCCACGAACGATGACACCCCCAACATGGCGGGGTTCATTGAGCGGCAGTCGGAGAAGTACGAAGCCACGCCGGGGGAGGCGTCGTTCGTGATCAAGGCGTACGATGAAAAGAAGTCGGCAACGCTGGCGGAGATTGCGAAGAGTTTCGCGTTCTGGGATTCTTATGTGAGTTGGGCTCAGAGAGGTTGCATTGCGACAGATAGGACTAAAAGCTGACTGACGGGACCAGTTCGCGGAACATCCGGGGCCTACGAATCCGAATCGGCAGTTTGCGACCTCGGGCTCGACCTGTGGGTATCTAGACAATAATAACCAGGCTGCTGGGTTCTTTTACAATGTCACTGGGACGACATGTGCGACCTCGATCTTTGAGGCGTTGAGTAATAAGGGGATTAGCTGGAAGAATGTATATCTGACACTCTCCCCCGAACGAGCGTGCCGAGCACATGAACGTTAACATCGTCTCAGTACTACGAAACAGATATCATCGACGGATGGATGTACAAGGTCAGCCACCCCCTCATCTCAACCGAATATCTCTAAGAATATGAATAGTGGGTTCAAGACAACGCCATGGACCGTCTCGCCCACGCCAGTGACTTCTACCGAGATCTGGAAGAAGAAACCCTGCCCACCTTCTCCTACATCAACCCGGAATGCTGCACCATTGACTCCATGCACCCAAAGAGCAACATGGCGGCGGGCGAGCAGCTAATTAAGCACGTATACGATGCAGTGCGGAAGTCCAAATACTGGGACAATGCGTAAGTCGCCATGAACCCTTCTCCTGGGCACTTCTTTGTCCTGTGTTGAAGGAACAACACTGATCGAAATAGTCTGATCATCATCAACTTCGACGAACACGGCGGCTTCGCAGACCACGTCCCGCCGCCAGCGAACGTCCCTCGACCTGACGATCAGATCGTCTTCGACGGAGAGTCGGAGGGACATCACGTCACTTATGATTTCACCCGGCTTGGTGTTCGGTGGGTTCCCCATTCTACCTTCGATTTTAATTTCGGACCTGGAGAAAACCGAAGCATGAGCTAACTCCCCCAGCGTCCCCGCCTTCCTCATCTCCCCATACATCGAGCCTAACACGCTCATCCACGACCAAGGCACCATGTACGCCGAAGACTCGGCCTACACGCACTCCTCCATCCTGCACTTTCTGCAGGAACTCTGGGACCTGGAGGGGCTGAACAATCGCGTGCAGTGGGCCAAGACGTTCGAGCATGTGTTCTCGCGCAAGAAGCGCACTGACACGCCGAAGAGCCTGACGACGCCGGTGTGGTACGGGGGAAGTTGGGAGCCGAAGCCGGAGCCGTTCTATTTGCTGAATCAGGATGAGAGTTATTATGCGAACCGGGGAGGGAGCTGATATATAGATGTAGATATAGATGTGGGAGGTCTGAGTGGAGTTGTGTTGAGAACGGTGTTTATACCCAGAGCAGTAGATAGAGTTATAGATATTAGAGACGGAGTGAATGAGAAGATAGAAGAAGACAAAGTAGTTGTAATCATTGAGGTATCATCATATAACATCTTATCAAATGAAATCGTCAGAAAGAACGCCAAAATGGCACTGGTATCATAAGGTAACCGGTTTCCTTTGCCTCGACAGCCTGCCCAGAAATAAAAGCAAGACCGACTAGAGGAGTTTGCAAGAGAAAACAAAGCTCTCTTCGCAAGAACAAACCCCCATTTCACATCCCAATCAATCTTCAATCCCTCTTCCCCGACTGCTTCCCCTCATCCGCCGACCCAGTCATATTCCACAACCGATTCTTGTACGCGGGAAACGAGGTATGATTCCACATGTTGACGAGCACGCTATATCGACTCGGTATTAGCCAACTCCATCCATGAAACACACCGACAAGAACAAGAGGAAAATAAAGCAGGGGAGGGGAAAAAAGAACCTCTGACTCCGATCCTTATACTCCTCATCCCTCAACTCCTTCACGCCGACCTTCATGCCATCGCGTGTCCAAGAAACATTCTTCTTCTCCATCTTCGACCGCGTCGTGCGCGTGACCTCCTGCGCGATACTCCATGCGATGTAGCCGATCACGGCGAGGACGGAGACGACGACCAGGAGGATAATGAGGGGGATGATGCGGGCGCCCATGATGGTTGGGTTGGATTATTCGTGCTTTGTTTCTTTTCGCTCGTTCTTTCTTTCCGTTTACGAGTGAGAGGTAGGGATGCGGGTTGGGTAATTTCGAGATCTGCGTGAGATTTATCGAAAACAGCTAAACTATAGAGACTTGTGTGGTTAATATGATGAACTGTTATATGTAGGTTCTCTTCGTGTAGGGCTGATGACGAGCGGAGCCGATCACGATCAGACCAGAAGATCGAGGTTCGTGTTCGGTTCGTGTCTGGGAAGGGGGGACAATGACATAGTGCGGTCCAGTACATACCTCAGCGGTCGGGATCACAGTGAGTGAGTTGTCAGGAACCCAAGATCAGGAACAAACTGAAGAGAGAAGAGAAAAGAAACATAGAAAGGAAAAAGGGGTAATTAAAGAAGAAATGGGACCCCAAGAAATCAACGCTGGTTCATCCGGTTTTTGGTTCGTCGCATCGCCAAGAATTCGGGGCCGCGGAGGGGAAAAAATAAAAAAAAAGAAGGGAAAATGTTGGTGCCTGCGATGGATATTCTTAGTCTGACTCAAGAGAACTGACACTCGCGTGTCGGTCCTGGTCTGGTCTGGTCCTCAGGGTTTCAGACTTTCAGTTTAGTTTGATTTTCTTTCCTGTCATCTTTTAAATCGGTTTCTCCTCTGCTGAGCTGCAGGACGAGATCTTTTCTATTGGATCAGACACCGCAGACGAGGGACGGGGCGGTGCTGTCACAGCCATGCTGACCGTTGCGGTGCAATCAACCTAACACCCCTACGGAGGAATAGAAGGAGTCCAACGTAGTCTAGTCTAGACTGCACACTACCGTATAGTCTATCAACCATCGTCAACGTTGATCGAGTAGGTACCTACATGCTATATCGAGAAGGAAGAATAAGATTCTCGTCCCGACTCTCTCCAGCTACCCCGTAATCCAACCGTGCCACAACCCTAATTCAACCATGTCTGTATCCCTCTGGATCCACGAAAAATCTCTTCTTCGTCACGGTCTATATATAAATATGATCTTGTAGCGGTGTGCTCTGTATCGCCTCGCCTTACATATTCCGTCTCTGGGTATACTATAACAGCAGGACGTGCAGGGGCAAGACAAGATAGACTGGCTGTAAATGCAACGTTCCACGATAACGCCACTTCACTATCTTTCTTCGCGCCTTGGATGACCTGGCATGGTACTTAAGCATGGCAAGACCGGGACTCTCGAGGAATGCTCTTGTGGCACGCATTGGTTATGTTCGAAATGGCCACGATGCTGGTGCCTGTCGTCGGGGCCGTTGCCCTTCTGCTGGTGAGCTTGGTGTTGCAGAGTAAGAGAAAGTCCACGGTGAGTATTGCATCTTCTACATCCAAAGACTCAAGCTAGATATGTGATTGACTTGATGGTGTAGATTGCCAAATACCCCGAACCCTCGATCATCCCTTTCAGTGTACGCACACGTTTCATTCTGTGATTAGGAATCTCACATCGACTGATCGATTGACGGGCAGAGCGAGGAAATCATCCGGAACCCCCATGAATGCTTTATGCATGGATTTAGACATTATGGACAAGTGTTTCGGTATTATTGCAACGGAAGCGTGAGCCGTTCATCCCCTCTGCTAGTGTTTCTACTGATTTTCGCTGTTCAGTTCCGATACATGGTCTCCAAGGAGCTGACCGAACGAGTCTTGACGGAGGATACAACCTTCAGCTTTGAACTGGGTGTTGCAAAAGTGCTATCCCCTCCCGTTTTCTGGATTAACTGTACTGACCAAACTCGAGGCCTTGAAAATAAACCTCGTCCACTGCTTCCGCGGTGGCACTTTTTACTCAGACATTGATGCCCTCGTCACAGAGGTCACAGCCAAGCGTCTAAAATCAATCATTCCCAAGAGTGAGAGAAATAGATCAAATGGTGCCATTCATGCTGATCATGCCTAGTATCCCCTATCTTCCAACGCAACGCCGCAGAGCTGGTTCGGATGCATGGCAATGAGCCCTTTGATCCGATTCCGTATCTGCAAAAAACAGTCGCCGAGGCCGTCGCTATTATCATCTTCGGAAATGTACGACGTCTGACTCTCTATGAATGGATTTAATGCTGATCCGAGTGATATAGGAGATCGCCCGGACTTGTAACCCGGATCTCATCGTTGATATCGCTGAGGGGATGGCCAAGGCGACGGGCATGTTCCAGAATCAGTCACGCTGGGGAGGAAAGTTTCCGACTTTGTATTCTTTTTATAGTTGGTGAGTACTCCCTTCACATATAGGCTAACGCGCTGGCTTACAGAACTCTCTGGATCACGTAGGACCGAGCTCATTCTCATCCATCTGATCTGGCGATTCGGTAGGGAAATAGGTCCGACGGTATGGGCTGCGCTGTCGAAGTCATCCAACAGTCCCAGAGACAGCAAAGATGCAGATGATATAAATGTAAGTCCAGCCATCCATGATTACCTGAATTCATTCTCATCCCATGAAATTTCTCCTCCAGTCTACCGTCCTCGCTGTCCTCGCCCGCAAACTCGCCTCCAAAACTGGCCACCTCTCCATCCCGTCCAAGCTCTGGGCCATCGTCTTATCCTGGGTGTTCATATTTGCATCGGTGCATCAAACGTTAGCAACCTTCCCTCGTCCCGTTTCTTGTCAGCTACACCAGCTAACCACGGCCACTATACGGATGCATTCATACATACAGCGTAGTGATAATGACCTACGTCGTCTTTGAACTTGCCCGCCACCCAGAATGTCAGGAATCCATCGTCCTCGCCAACCTTTCGCCCTCCTCGCCCTTGACGATCGACTCTCTTCGCGATGCCATCCACACCGAGTCCTTCATCCGTGAGGTGCTTCGCATGAAAGGCGAAGCTATCACCACCGTGCGCAGCCCGCGCCATGATATAGAGCTCGCAGGGTATTTTATTCCAAAGGGTATGTCGTGTCGTGTCGTTTGCTCGATATCACATCTACCTAGCAGACATAAAATACGACCCGTTTTTCTAAATAGCTAGAACAACTAGCTAAAAAAATCAACCGCATGGATTGTATATCTATATAGGATCCCTTCTCCATCCCATGGTCTACCCCTCCAACCGATCCCCCGAATACACGACCAACCCAGATACATTTGACGGCATGCGCTGGACACAAAGCCGTAAGTTGGCGACGACGACCGGGCCAGGACATTTGTCTTTCGGACTGGGTCGGTGGGCTTGCCCGGGGAGGTTTTTGGCTGTTGCGGGTGAGTTCTCTCTCTCTCTCTCTGAATTACGGACTACGGATAATGCCACCAAACTCACACAAAACCCATACTTAGAAATCAAACTCGTCATCTTGACTCTTTTGGCGCAGGCGGACCTCGAACTGGTCGATGGGGAGTTTGCATTAGCGGATAAGTTGAATATCGTGGGGACGCCGCCACGGGGGAGAGTGGTGATGAAGAGAAGAATCAGAACAGGAACAAGAACAAGCGAAGTGGGCATGGACTGATCATGTCTTGAAACGTGATAAGGTTCTTCTGGTTCATCGATCTGGTTAATTATTTCTGGTTAGCCTCGGGCAGTTAGTTTAGTGATTTGGGTACCGAGTTCGTCGGTAGGTAAGGAGGAAAATCGATATGCTATGATTCTTTTTCTTCATACTGCGTTGTTTTAGCATAGCATAGGTAGTCTATCATACATACACTTAAACAACTACCTACCCAACGCAAGGTCTTCTTTCTTCAAGGTAAGGAAGGAAGGTTACATGCATACACCTCGGACATAGACAGCAAATCAACCTGTCGTCATAATGAATCATAGCCAACTCGAACAACTAGCAAAGAGTCTAGAAAAGATCAATTCCCGCCCTTCAAATAAAAGAAACAAATCCAAATTCAAATCCACCCATAAGACATATCATAGAGAAAGAAAATGTGCGACGTCCCTTTCCTCCCCATCTTCCCGATCTGTTTCCAATGCGGCACCGACCAGAACCCGTGTCGATGTAAAGTCGTCGGTCCGACGTTAGGTACGTATTCTTATCCTTCCTTCCCTTTCTTTTGATTTATTGTGCGATACGGTATATCTAAGAGGACTATTGCTAACGAATACCAATGATGATTAGGATTCTGCGTGACGGTCGTGGCGGCGGTATGTCTTTCTCATTGACACCATTTACACATGCCGATCATGTCAAGAGCTGTCGGATTCAAGTCAACTGACTAACAAGGAATCTGGATATAGGTGATCTGTTACCCGGCATCGTTATTCTGTGGATGTTGTTTGACGCAGAAGGGGAAGGAGTATGCCTCCCCAGCCCTACCAAAGAACATGATGGTGAGGCTAATATATGATGAACAGTTGCCTGGGGTATCCGGTGAAACTGAATCAGAAAGTGGCAGCCTTTATTCCGATATGAGACTTATAGGGTTCGATGGATACAGATACCTATTATCGATTTAATTAATGCTCTAATGTACTAGATCCATTCATAAAGTATTCTGGTTGATTCGAGGACTAGAATTACGTAGCGTATTAGGACCAGTTGCTCTAACCAGATCAGACGCAGAAACATTATTAACAGAGTAGAATAGAACGATAAAGGTATAGAGTAAAATGAAATCCACAGATAAAGCACAAAAGCAGCAACAGAACAAAACAAAACAAAAAGGTATCCAGATCATGAAGACGCAAAGACAACGACAGTGACAGAAAAACAAGCTTTCCACCCCTCGCGAATTATTCAGTCTTCACATAGATAAACTCCGACATTGACTCATCTATTTCAACTTCTCCTTGATCTTGTGGAAGAACCCGCTCACGCGATTCTTCTTCTTTTCTGACTTGCCGGTACTGCTCTTGTCGGCGCCGTTCTTGTCAGCGTCCTTGGCGCCGTTCTCGGTGCCCTTGGAAGCATTCTCCGCGGGCTTGGTGTTGTTCGCGGCGGCTGCCTTGTCCCCATTATCTCCCTTGGCTTGGTCAGCCGGAGTAGCGGGGAGATCCTTTTGCTCCAGCGCACCCGGTCCCTGTTCCTTGGGGACTGCCGATTCCTCAGGCCCGGTAGTCACCGTGGGCTCTTCGGTCGTCGGGGAAGTGGCGCGAGGGGACAGCGGGGTGGTGTCGACTGGTGGCCCCGTAGCCGTGGGGGGCGGTTCTGTCGTAGTAACCGAGGCTTTGTGGGCTTGTTCCGTGGTCGCTCCAGGAGCCTTGTCCGTCGTAGCGGCAGTGACGGCGGGCGCGGGAGTTCCGCTCGATTCCTCGACGGGAACCTTCTTCTGCAGCTCACTCTCCAGGTCTTTCTTCTCTTCCACGGCCGGCTTGTAGGCAGCGGCCTCGGGAGACTCGTGAGCCTCGGAAAGGGAGTTTTTCACCACGTCAGGCACCTCGCTCGCGGGCGATCCCACTCCGCCGTTGGCCTGATTCTTCTGAGACTCGAGAGGAACGGCGGCAGCAAGACCGGCAGTCGTAGACGTAGGGGCGGCCGACTGAATCGTGACGGGATCAGAAGCACCCTGGCTGCCCTCGCCCATGGGGAGACTAGACTCGGGAATGAGATTCTTAGATGTCGGAGGAGCAGCGGCCGCTGTGCTCTCGCCGGCCCCCTTGGCCTGACCACCCGTCAAAGAATGACTGGCGTCCTGTTCGTACCCAGCCTGGTCCGTCCGGGCAGTGGACTCCACCGTGTTTGAGTTGAACGTGCTGGGGTGGGGGACCTTCTCGCCGGGTTTCAACGAGATGGGGTTGCCCGTGCCGCTCGACGCGGGGATGGGGTTGATAGCCACATTCTCAAGCCCGGGAGTCGCGGGGAAGGTCCCAGGCACATTGGCTCTTTGTTCAAAGGGAACATTCTTGGCCAGCTCGGCGGTTGTCGACCCTGGGGCCGTAGACGAAAAGGCGGCATCCCCAACGATGTTCTTACTGGACTCTTTGGGTACACCACCTGCCAGAGCAGCGGTCGTGGAGTCGGGCGTCACTCCGGACATGACTGGAGTACCGTTCTGGAGGATAGATTGGGATTCGTCGTGGATCTGATCGGGGTAAAGGACGTTGTTGATATTGTTACTACCGTCGTCTTCCTCTGGGGCAGTGGTATCGGTAGTCCAAGTGCCGTCCACAACAAACTAATTTCAGTAGAGACGGACGAGAAAGTTAGTGAGGTGACTTCCCAGAAAAGAAGGCTGACGAGTTTTATAAAGGCCGGGCAAGAGTGGGGAGACGGCAGGCAAGAGAAGGGAAAGGAAGGGAAGACGGCCGGGAAAGACCGAATGACGTCAGCGGAGGTCAGAGGAACGATCCGCGTCATTGATTGCGGTGATTTCCCGACAAAGGGGGGCGCAGAAGGATGAGAACAAAGACCAGACCAGCCATCATTGCTTGATGGGGAGGTACAGTCCACTAGCCATGTCGTAAACGTGCTTCCCTGCAAGACCATCGTGCCCTTACCTTGTAGTACAGCTTCTCATCCGTTGGGGACAAGTGAATCTCCTTCTCGAAGTAGTCCCCCTTCTTCTCCAGTTGGACGGTCTTCCCCCAGTCATCGAAGGTCCCCGTCACGTAGACCTCTTTTGCATCGTGAGGCCTAATCGAAAGCCATGTCGCATCAGTCAGTGGTCAAGGTGATCCCGGCATTTGCCAGTCGGAAAGTAATTTGTCTGGTCTCGTCTCATCTCGTCCGATCCGGAATTGTTCGCAAGGAACGGAAGATGACGGATACAATGGCATTGACATCCGGACAGGATCGAGAGGAGAGCGATTGGTTTGATTGGAGTCCCCGGCATACAGCCAGGGATGGGAATCTGGTAGCCTGAACTTACCAGCGAAACGTGTAACTTCCCATCTCTATTTTGTTGGACAAGAGTGAGAAGAGTAGAAGTGGAACAAGATGGGCCGCCAAATGGATTGCGCACAAAAATGGGAGGGGAGGAAGCAAGCTTTTTTCTATTTTAAAATTTTTTTAATTTTTCTTCCCTGAATATCAAGCCGGAAAAGAGAGAGAGGCTGGGAAAGTCAACGTTGAACGGGGTTTTAGTGTCGATGGGAGCAAAGCGGGGGTGTGGCGGTCTCTCTCTCTCTCCCTTCGTCTTCTCTTTCTTCTTGAGACAAAAGTGCTAGACAGTGAACACCGACCGGGGGAAAAAAACCACACAGGGAGGGGTAGCTGCAAGATTTGAGGTTTCTCTTCCTCTTCTTCTTTCTTTTTCTTTTCACCGGAGAATATTCACCAGAACATTCTCAATGGCAGCATTCCGACCGAACAGCGTTATCGAATAAAACCCCGACGGGCAAAGACGCTGAGACCGCCGGCAGAAATCTAGACGCTGCCAGCGAACTATCTTGTACAACTCATCAGGGGCTAGTCCGATGATGGGATGGCTCCATGGACGGTCTATCACCGGGCGGTGATACTTTTTCTTTGTGCTGTCTCGTGCTGTACCTGCAGTGCAGCGACAACACTAATCCAGAAGCAATTAGCACTACGCCCGTGGCAGGATCCCCAACCACAGATCCGAACCTGTGGTCAGAGCAGGACCGAGCTCTACGGAGGCTGGTTTATTTACTCCGTCTACAAAGTACACGATAGAGATTGGTCATAGCTATAGCTACCTATAGGCTATAGGAGTCAGGAGGGGAACCGGCTTCAGCTGGCAGCCTGAATCCACGGGCGGCAACGGCACGGACCCGGACTCTCAGGTAGCTAAACTCAAGGCGGCAACAGAAGCAGGTTGAAAACGGCGATCTCACAGACTCGCCGTCAACTCTATCCATGGAGTCTACTCGCTAGAGTCGCAACTACTGAGTCCACTACGTCAGTCGGTCACTTCCAACGTCAGAAATGGAGGCATCTGGCATCATGACCTCAGCCGTTTTTGCCACCGATCTTCTCGTTGACTGATGCAGTCCATTGCCCCTGGATTACGCAAAAAGAAAAGAAGAAAGAATGAAAGACCCCCAAATTTATTGATGGATGGGAACTATTATTCACTTGTTTAATCTAGAAAGTCCTAGTGTCATTTCGGTCTCATCCAGGGTGGCGCAACGTCCGGACCAGATGGTCTTACGGAGTACGGAGGATTCTCTCCCCAACGCCCCCTATTCGGATTCCTCGCGACCTTCTAGAAAACACCTGGAAGACCGCTAGACAGATGGAAGCTTCCACACTTCGTCCGTTCCCGACGCCTCGCCAGAGTCCACCCGGCTCCATTTCCATTAATCTGGCACGACTCACGAACGCCGATTTCCCCTAGTCTTTACCATCATCTCCCAGGGTCGACTATTGACACCAGCTGGGTAGCTATTGAAGTAGTGTTGTTTAGCGGGGACGCCAGTGACGTCGATCCGTACATCTCCCATACCTCAGTGTAAGGATGTTCGTAAGGGACGTACGCACTCCGCAGTACACTTGAGTGGTGTGTACACTGTAGTGTATGTACTCCGTAGAATGTAGGGTGCAGAGGAGCTGCAATGGGCGTTGGTGGAAATCCAGCAGACCCAACTAGAAAGATAGTCATCCCATTCTCCAGAAGCTCTGGCCACAAGCTTTCCGTCACTTCCTGCTCCCCGCCTTTTCCCTTTTCTCGCCTGCTTCTGCTGAAGCTTCTACTACTTTTCCTTTTCTTCCCCTCTTTTTTTCTGCACAAATCTTCCCCCTCCAGATCAAGCGAGTGGGTTCTCTTTGTCTTTGATTTTTCTCTCTCTCTTTTCCTCTTCTTCTCCTTCATCTAGACTCCTTGTCTTTTCTTCCTCCGTTTGTGACAGCCTCACTTTCCTCCCCCTTTTCCTTGTCTGACCATCTGTCTCGCTTCGTTGGTCTCGTGGCTTCACCTGTCTGGGATTTGTCTAACCTTTCGTCCAAGGAAGCTTTTCACGCGACCCAAAGGACATCAGAGCTGGCGGTCTGGGAATTTGTAAGTTGCAACTTGTCCCGCTCTAGTTCTGCTCTGTTACCCCTCCAAAGCTTGGCCCCGGCTGAAGCTATTGCGCGTTCCCACTTTGCTCTGTTGCAACCCCCTCAAGGAATTAATTAATTTTTAAAAAAAGGGGGACGGGTCAGGGAAAAAAAAGAAAAGAAAAGAAATTCAGAAAAGAAAAAGAACAGAAAAAGAAAAGAATCCAAAGACCCTCCCATCTTTCCAAGCCAGCCCATCTCCACTCGTTAGCGGAGACTCTCTTCCCTCCCCAATAGAGGCCGCCCGTCGGTTTCCCTACCCGCCCCTCTTCCTCCTTCTCCTCCCCTTCTTTCGCTTTTCTTGATCTGCAAGTCGTCGCACTCAAATAACCGCTGCTCTCTTGCCTGCCTCGTGCTCCCTCCCTGTATTTCTTCCCCCCAGTCTTTTCCTTCTCTGACCTGGTCAACAAATTATTTCCATTTGAATTCGATTCCCGTTCTAACTCACCCTCTCTCCCAGTCCACTCCCGCTCTACCCCTCCATCAGCTTCCCTTGCAACGCTCCAACATCCTCGCGTCTTCCCCGCTTCCCAGTGGCCGGAGCGGTGTTCTCTCCGGCCCTACGACAAACAGCATGGCTGAAAGCTCGTTCCCCGCGACCAACACTCGCCTCCGCGTCGGCACCAAAGACGACATGTCGAGCGCCTTCCAAAAGATCTCGGAGGAGGATGAATATGAGGTGACGTCACCAACCGACTCGACCTTTCGATCCGCAAACGCCAACCCCGCTTCCTCGTCTTCCGCCGACAATCTCTTCGGAGGCAGCGTATTTGGCGAAGCCACCGGTAGCGGCGGTGGTGTGCCCGCCGGCGGAATCCGGTTCACCAGAAGTCCCTTTGGAGGTCCCGCTGGAGACGGGGATGAGGAACAGGACTACAACGATCTCCCAGAGGGAGACCGACCGACCGGGGGGCCGAACCAGGGATTCCCGAACAACTATGCGTTGGGCCGTCGCACGTCGGTGTCTGCCGAGTCCTTGAACCCGACGTCTGCCGGCTCCGATAGCTGGGTGCCTCCGTATCACCCCAAATCCGAGGAACAGCTGTCTCGCTTGAAGGTCGCCGTCAGCAACAACTTCCTCTTTTCGCATCTGGATGACGATCAATTCAAGACGGTGCTGGACGCCCTGGTGGAAAAGCCGATCCCTGCCAAGGATATTAAGGTGATCTCGCAAGGCGATGCGGGTGACTATTTCTACATCGTCGAGAATGGCCATTTCGATGTCCACATCCATCCCTCGGGCTCGGTGCAACCGGGCGCGGATGGCATGGGTAGTAAAGTAGGCTCGATCGGGCCCGGGGGCTCGTTTGGAGAGTTAGCACTCATGTACAATGCTCCTCGCGCGGCGACGATCGTGTCTATCGACCCCAAGAGTACCTTGTGGGCTCTCGATCGCATTACGTTCCGGCGGATTCTGATGGACTCGGCTTTCCAGCGCCGTCGCATGTATGAGGCCTTCCTCGAGGAGGTCCCGTTGCTATCGAGCCTGAAGCCCTATGAACGGGCGAAGATTGCCGACGCTTTAGATGCGACCAAATTCCCCAGCGGCTCGACCATCATCACGGAGGGTGACCCGGGTGACGCATTCTACCTTCTTGAGTCCGGTGAAGCGGATGCTTTCAAGACTGGCATTGAGGGACCGGTCAAGTCGTACCGCCGAGGCGACTACTTCGGAGAGCTGGCTTTGCTTGATGACAAGCCTCGAGCCGCCAGTATCATTGCTAATACGGAGGTCAAGGTGGCCAAACTGGGCCGCGACGGATTCAAGCGCCTACTTGGTCCCGTGGAACAGATCATGAGAAGAACCGATTACGATTCGAGGCCCACATCCTCGGCCGCGTGAAATCAATGAGCTGGGCGAAAAGGATCCAAGAAGAAAATCAATTAAAAAATATTATTATGCTACGAGCAGACGGTGTATGTTTGCTATCTACCGATATTTATTCCTCGGTGACTTTGCACTTTCCTTTCTATGTTTTTTGTTTGTAGTTTCTATGCTACTTGGAGCCCAGAGGTATTGGTGAAGGGAGCATGTGGTTTTTTTATGTTTCATTTCGTTTCTTTTTCTATTTTCCTCTACTTAAGATATGAAGAATTACTTGTCTGGTAAGAGTCTCGATGCCTGGCCAGGCTTATCCTACGACTTGTTGCGCAGACATGGTTTTGTTATTGTCATTTTTCAATTTGCCCTGTTCAACGATTGATTGCGCATGGTTGTCCACTGACCATCAGTCGCTACAATCAGATCTTCGCCTTTATCACCTAACTCCCAACCTTCCAATATACTTTTGATCTGAATTTGAGCTCGGTATACAACTAGTCATGAAAGTCGTTTTCTTTTCTTTTCCTTGTTTGTTTCTTTGTATGTATGTACAACGCTACCAGGACTGTTTAGGAACCAGCTCCCATCCTGCTTGTACCCTAGGATTATGCTGTCATCAATATAACCAAAGGGAGGTTCATTGCATGCATAGCACGTATTTCGTAGAGGTTTAGACGCCTTGTCTTCATGTTTTGTAGCTTGTAAGTAATCATCACCGCTCCACCACCAGGTCACTTCGCAGCACCCACTTCTCCCCCGCCAGCACCTCCTTCCCTTCGTGCAGCATGCAGGCGTCTCCGTGGCGATGGAGTAGCGCCATGCCAGTCTGGGGCGCCACAGACACTGGACTCGGATTGCGATTCTCCCTCGTAGCTTCGGGAAAGAAGACGGTCTCGCCTCCCGTGCAGGTGGTCAAGTAGATCAGGAGTGTCCAGGTCGTGCGGGCCGGTTGGGCCGGGCACGACGGCGACGAGAACGTGACGTTGTTGAAGTCGTCGTCTGGTGATGTTAGCCCTGCCTTATACGAATGGGACGTTACAATATTCCCCTCTCTCCCCGAGAGAGGGGGGGAAGGGGGAGATTCAACATACAATGCGCCCCGAAAAACTGACCCTTCGAATACCGATAGATGCGAATATTCGAATTCAAGCCTAACGGCTTCCCACCCCAGATTTCCTCGGGAGTTCTTCTCCCCCCATCCTCATCTTCATACTCATCCTCCTCTCCCGCCCTCTCCTCCACCAACTCCCTCAGCGCCGTATCCCGCCACACCATCTCCGCAAAAGTCTCATCCTGCACCTGGAACCGATCATTCACGCGCACCGCCTCGTCCTTCTTCGGCTTCCCGGGCGTCGTGAGCATCGGCAACGACGCCAGGAAGGACACGTAGATTTTGCACAGTGACGCGGGGAAGAAGTTCGGGATTAGGTAGATCTGGTCATGTAGGAGGGGCTCCAGGGTGAGGTCTGATGGGGGGATTAGGGGGCGGAGGGGTGGCCAGTTCGGTTTAGGTGTAGAGGGTTTGGGGTTGGATTTAGAGGGGAGGTCTTTTTTGAGGTTGGGTTTGGGTTTGGATTTGGATTTGGGAGGCATTTTTTGTTTTTTTTTTTTTTTTTTTTTCTTGGGGTTGGTTTTCTCTTTTGGTGGGTTTTGTTTTTCAGTGGGTGTGTATGTGTATAGGTGAGTATATATGTATATGGGTGTATGGGTGTCTGTCTGTATATATGTGATCTTGGGGCCGTGGGAGTTGGTCGATGGAGGATGTCTACTCAGTGCCTAAGGTGTCTACATGTCTAAGGCATCTGGTTGGTACTCGGGTGTCATAATTGTACAGCCTGAGGCTCCTAGGAACATGCAGAGTACTCCGTAGTTTTCGCCCAGAGTCAAGAACATTGAGTACAGAGTATCGATTACCTGCATATTATATTTGCAAGTAAACTTAGGCCAATAGAAAGTCTATTTCTCCAATTATTCGAATACTTGGACCTGCCTCTAGAAGTAGTTCAACTCGAGGATTCTCCATTTCTCAACGTATTTTTTGTAATTTTCCCGTCGTGTACGGTAATCCACGTGACCTCAAACATGGCGATGAGTCAGACGACGCAGTCATGTGTCTTTTATAGTTAGCTATCTACATTCCTACAAAGGCAGATGCTAGATAGTTTGAATCAGAGTCAATGTATAGAGATCGAGTCATCGAGATCAACATAAACGGGATGAATGTTTTGCAGCAAGCATCTGAGACAGGAATGCGGACAGCGGCCGAGCCAGATCGATAAGTGCCTCCCTAGTACAGTACCTGGTAGTAGTACGTAGTTGGCTGTACTCGTAGTTACCCAGGGAAAAAATGAGGAAGAAAAAAAAAAATTCCTTCCCGGCTCCTCTTTTCTCCCGCCAGTCAAGTCTCTCTCTCTCTGATGGCCTCACTTCACCGCCCGCCTCTACTTCTCCCTCCTCCTCTCTGCCTTCTCTGCAGCCCGTCCTCTTTGTTCCCCCCCAGCATCACCAACCGCCGGTCATGTCGTCGTCACAGACCATGACAGCGCCAGCGGTGGGCCATCGGCCTCCTGATGCTGGTTCCAGCATGTCATCCCTCTACGATTACGGTCCATCTCAACATCCTGATCATTCTCCTCCCTCCCCGCCCAGCGACTCCGCAATCCGCGCTCTGCACGATTCTGCCCACCCCGACGACGCCCCTGCCAATGTCAATGGCTCCTCCTTCTCCTCCCCCCTGCCCGCCACGATGCCCGTCAAATCAGAGCCAGAGGATTCCAACTTCTCTGCCTCTGCCTCCGACGTCCTGCCCGATGCCAATCCAGGTACGAATCCCAATCGTCGTCAGTCCGCCGCCAGTGCCCTCCTAGCCCAACTGCTCGGCAACCAATCCTCTGCGCCGTCCGACCCTGCTGGTCCAGATCAGCCCGTGCCGCCGCCGGCGGGCCCAGAAACAGACTACCACCACCACCACCACTCTTTACTACCCTCGGACCATCGCCTCCCCGATCTCCCCTCGCAACAACAACCCCAACCCCTACCACCACCACCACCCCCAGGGCCGGACGATGGGATGAATGGCCACGACTGGTCCGCAGAACCTCCGGCTGAGTCTTTGGCGGCCCCCGTCGGCTCTTCCGACGGCCAGGATCAGAATCCGGTCTCCCTCGGGGGTCTGCTGCCGCCGTTCCAGCCGGAGGAGAAAATTTCGGACGAGGCCTCTGCGATGGCTTTTTCGCACCCCGATTTCCACGATGCCCTGCCCGCCAAGTCCGTCGATCCGATCGAGGGCCTGACCGATCCTTTGCTGTTGTCCAAGTCCGGTCTCGACCATTCCGACCTGTTTCCGCCCTTCGATATCACCGCTCCTCCGAAGACCCCCTACGAGGCATTGCACCAGAATGAGATGCTGACGGCTGCCTACCTATCCCAAAGTGCTGATCTCTCCGCCCTGGGCTACTCGGGCACCGGTCTCCATCAGGATGGGACTGGCTCGATTACCGGGTCCGAGCCCCGGATCCAGGCTTTTGCGAAATTGGAATTCGACGACGGTCACTTCTACTGTAACACATATTCCTTCATCCTGGGTCGAGACGTACGAGCGGCTCGGGCTGCTCATGAACGGGAATTGCACGTCCGTCAGGCCGTTAGAACTTCTCGCGCGAAAAGTTCGAGCGGTGGCAACACGTCGCATACCCCCGTCCGAGTAAAACATGAAGGCAGCGGGATTCTAGGGAGCGTCGTCAGCGACCGTGGTGGAATCCTAGGCTTTGATCCCGACGTTCCGCCCCTTCTCCCGCGAATGAGTCGCCGGTCGTCCAATTCGTCCCATGCCGAGTCTGGCGCGCCGCTACACGCGACTCCCGCCCAGCTGCAGGCCACCACCGACTACAATGCTCTGGCCATGCAATCGCTAAATGACGGTAACGGGGATGCGAAACCGGTTGACACCCTCGCTCTGCTCCCTTCTCCCGACGCTTGTCCTACCATTCCCATCCACCCCCCGGCGACGGCCGACGGAACGGCCGCTGGACATCGAGGGATTTCACGGAAACATGTCAAGATTGCATATAACTTTGAGGGGAACTTCTTCGAGATGGAAGTGATGGGGAGAAACGGTGCTTTTATCGGGGCTGATTGGCTATCGCCGGGTCAGCTCCGACCTCTACACAGTGGTGATTACATCCAAATCGGCGGCGTCCGCATCCGCTTCTTACTACCAGACGTCCCGATTGGCGAGACGGGCGCAGAAGTCACCGAGGAGCCGTTCGTCGACGAGGACAACGCCCAGGTATCTGTCGCGGCCGGAGAGAACGACTTCATCGACGACAAACGTGGACTGGACAGCTCGGAGAGCAAGGACGGTACGAAACCTACTAAGCTTATACTGAAGACCAAAGATGCCAATTCCACACAACCTGTCCCGTCCATTGAAGGCTCTGCGGATGGCCAGCAGCCGATCCGGCGTCGCGGCCCCGGACGTCCTCCCAAGGATGGGATCATGTCCAAACGCGAGCGTGCCGAATTGGCTCGGGAGCAAAAGATGGCTGCGAAGCGCGAGGCCAATGGCGGTGTTACGCCTCCGCCCAATCGACCCAAGGTCGCCGGCAAGGCTCCAGTCATGGGTGCTCCGTCTACTACTCCCAAAGAGTCCGTTGGCGCCGAGTCGCCCGGGTCGAAGCCGGAGAAGCGCAAGTACACGAAGAGGAAGAGGCCGGACGGCACGTCGATGGACTTCCCCTTGCCTTCGACGGAAGGAGGCCAATTCCCCATGGAGCAACGACCCGAGGACTTCATCAAGGCTCCGCCCGTCAAGAAGCGCAAACCGTCACGGTCGCCATCGCCCAACTATCCGCCCGAGTCAGCATACACGCCGGAGGACCTCGCAAAGCCGCCGTACAATTATGCGGTGCTGATTTTCGATGCGCTCACCGAGGCTGGTACCCCCATGACCCTCAAGCAAATCTACCGCGCCCTAAAACTCAAGTACCCGTATTTCCGCTTCAAATGCGAAACCGAGGGTTGGACGTCCAGTGTACGGCACAATCTCAACGGCAACAGCCATCTCTTCATGCACGCCGAACGAGATGGCAAAGGATGGTCCTGGCAATTACGACCAGGCGCCTCGGTCGAGAAGGAGAAGAAGAGGCGCCCGTCGCCTCCGCCGCCGGTCTCGCAGCCTTCGATGCCGGCTGCCACTCCGCAGTACATGCCTCAAATGAATCCGCCGTATGCCAGCCAACCCAACGGACAAACGGGCATGGCCAACGCGCACTTCCAATTCCCGTCAATGCCGCCATCCAATCCGTACACTGCGCCTTCGCCGGCACCTCCTCCGACTCCAGCGGCAGCACCACCACCGCCTCCACAGCAGCAGCAGCAGCAGCCGCAGCCACAACAGCAACAACAGCAGCAGCCACAGCCACAACAACAACCACAACCACAACAACAACAACAACAACAACAACAACAGCCGCAGCCGCAACAACCGAGTCCTTTCCCTCCTCTACCTCAGGCCGCCTCCACCCCATTCCCCATCCCCACTCCGCTCCGAAACAACCTTCCGCCTGCTTTTGCTCAAACCACTCCGTCCACCTACACTTCCCCTTATGCTTCCGACCCTCCGCCGCAACTAGTCCAATTCCAGCAATCGCAGCAAACACAACCGCCACCGCCACAGCAGACCATACCACCACAGCCATCATCACAGCCGCAGCCGCAGCAGCATCAGCCGGTACCGCCACCACAACCGGCTCAACAACCGCAGCAGCATCAGCAGCAACATCAACATCACCACCCTCATCATCCACCGCCGCCACCGCTACCACAGCAACATCAGCCACCTCCGCCTCCCCATCAGTCTCCTTACCCGCCGCAGCATCCTCCGCCGATGTCAAGTTACCCTCCCCAACCGCAGCAGAACCTGCCCCCTGCTTCTGGGCCTCCTCTCCAGCATCAACCCAATCCCAACGTTGCGCCCAGCGACCCTGGACCGGGAGGACCCATGGACCACTCCGAAGCGTTATCGTTCAATGAACGGGCCAACAAGGCCATTGACGATTTCGAAGCAGTGCTGATGGAAGATTACGAGGATAAGAACTATATTCGAGAGGTGCTCAAGAGTTCGCGGGCTCGTGTGCTCGGTGAGGCGACGGAGAGCTCCTTCCCTGGAGGAGAACCGAAAGATGAGGCGGTCATTCTTGATGCGTTGCGCAATTTGATCGGTAGCTTGAAGGATCAATAGATCCGATACTGATGTTGGACAATGAACAACTGGGTGTATAGAAAACTGGCTTCAACGAATTACGAGATTTCCTTTTATTTATGTTTATGAACATCTGCAATTGGTGACCGGACTGGTGTTTGCTGGAAGTATATCGGACCCGGGAAAGGGAAACGGCACAACTACTGGAAAGGTCTCCAGCAGCGATCAACAGAGCCTTTACTGTGGTTTGTGATCCTCAAGTCTATCTCTCTCTCCCGGGACAGCGATTTTTTTTTTTTTATCTTTCTTTTCCCCCTCTTTTCTGATTTAGTTTTCTGGCTTTTCTTCCTTTTCCTTTTCCTTTTTCTCTTTTTATTCCGATGATATCCACTACGTTCTGGGCTTTTATGCTCTGTCTCCCTTTCATCGTTTCGAACACATACACGCATAGTTATGCATGCATCTCATCTGGCACAGGACCCCCTTTCTGGGAGGGTGCCAGATAGACCGTTATCCTGTTTATTTTGATTCTTGATTTAGTCTTCTTTCCTGTTCCGTTGATTTATTTTGTGGCCGGTATAGGTAAAACAAAACAAAAGCTAGGCGTTTTAGTTGCATAGATACAATGGTAAAAAAAATTTTAAATCTAGAATTTAATCAATTCGATTGAATCAAGGATATGAAGTGATTTGGGCGATGCGGTGCCGCTGTCCCCCACATGCAGTAGTCAGCACCTGACTGTCAAAGTGAGGTGAGTGAGTCAAGACTCGAGGGTCAGAGTCAGTCAGGGAGACCCGGTTCTTTCCTGTCCGCGGGGTCACTGTGGTTGGAGCATCGGGCCATTCTTGTTTACTTTGGATGGTCTGGCAGTGTCTAGGTGTACTAACCTGGCTATGAAGTTTACCACCCTACCTAGGAGTCAAGAGGTTGCGTGACTTGTTAGGAGCATATAATTTGAAGTGGTAGGTTTCAAAAATAATAATAAATATACAGACTCAATGCAGTGCACCCACATCCACCACCACAACCGCAGGTAGCCGAGTGAGTGTGTGAGTGACTGACTATCTTCAGGACGGTCAAGATCAAGATCAAGGTAAAGGTAAATGTCGTCAAGGTCCTATGATGCCATGCCATGCCATGCCATAATAACAAGAATATTCATCCATCTGTCCGGCTACACTTACTCAGTAGTAGGTATGGTATGTAGGTAGGGGACATTTACCCCTCCCTCCTTCCCTCTCCCTTCCTCATCACCTAGACCCAGATGGTTTAGGGTGGGCTGGGATTAGTTATTTCGGTTCGGTTCGATTCCATCTTTTCTTGTCTTGTTCCTGAATGACCCGACAGAGAGGGGGGAGGGGAGGGGACGTGCAGGAAGTCAAGGGGGTCTTTCTGTTCTGGATATTCTACCGAAGCGCGGCGCGGGGGGGGACGGACATCCTCCGTCTTGTGTATGCACGACCATGTCCGGGCGCTTGTAGGTATGGAGTAATGTGTAGGGGCTGATTGTGACTGACTACCTTACTATCTGGGTGTGTGTGGATGTGCATACTCAGTATATGCCTACTACTCCTACTCTCATCTGTAGGTAGGGGAATGAGGGAATTATCATCATCCGTCGGGTCGGGTGGTTTTTACTTCTAGTTTGTTTTTTTTGTTTTTTTAATCTCAGATCGGGTGTAGGCTCTCCTCCATGTCCCTGGACGGGGGTTTGTTTTTATTTTTACTTATTTGGTTTGTTTTTTCAGGGTCATGCTTTTCTTCCACCTTGAATGAACTGAATCAATCAGGGTGATGAATGAGAATGATGATGGTTGGGCAGCCATCTAGGAGTACAGGAATCCCCACTTTCCTGAATCAGTGTAGCGATAGACTGAGGTTAAAGGTTCAACTACAGCACCGTCGGCTATGTAGGTATCTGCATCTGTAAGAAGAAGGTTCATGGAAAGTATGGAGGTTGCGGGAATTTTTGAGGTTGTGCTGAGGGTTGGTAGTAATAATAATAATCCTATTAATTAATACCGATCAAATAAATAAATGAATCAAAAATGACTGGCTGATATCAGGCCATTGCCGGTTTGGGATGCGGGCAGGAGCAGACAGAATCGGATGAGTACATACATAATGACTGCGCAGGGCGGTGTTCATTTCATTGGATTTGTTTTCGTTTTCAGGATGACAGGTGAGTTGATTGTCGATTTTAACTGGATACGATGGTAGATGATCGTAGGGTGGTGGTGTGGCGACATATAATATACTCTACTCTAGGGTATGTACTGAGTACAGACGAGCATGTTGGCAACCGACACTGACACTGTTGACATCTCTATCGATCAATGTCTACTGAGTATGAATATTTCCGCATAATGCAGGGTAGAGCGGAGATCATATTCCGTAGTATCCGTACTCCGTATAATGTTCCCTATTATTAGGTATATATTATCTGCAGTCTTTTTTTTTTTTTTTTTTTTAGGAATAATAATAAAAAAGAATATGACTCTAGATCAACCAACCAGCCTCCCTCCAATCCAGAAGGCAAGAACAGGGCAGAGTAGATGATACGCCAGAGATGATATGCATGGACCTGGCCACGGCCACGGCCATAAACCACGCCCACGGCTACGGACAGGTGGACCAGATTGGTAGGCAGGTCGACCATCAATCATAATAATGACCATCCACTAAGCATCCCCAATCTACTCCGTCGTCGACGTGGTGGCCTTGCCTCAAGGTACACGGGACCACTCCCAACGACACGATCGCAGGATGGCTAGACCAGACCAGAGACAGAGCGCTTTTTCCGCCTCTCCGTTCCGGTGCTCAGGGCGGGGAGAGAGGACGGGCAATTCAGTTCTAGAAGAATGAAGCTCCGCCTCGTTCTGATTGGGTGCTCTACGAGACAAGCCATGAGTCAGATGCTCGAGTTCGACGGCAGTGAGAATCGGAGTCGGAGAGAAGAGGGGAGGGTTCGCCCTTGTCTTACGTCTCTCGCCTTTCGGACATTCCAGGCACTGACGTCGGCGCAGCAACCACAATGTGATCTCTGTTTGGTCTCTATGAAATGCAGGAGGTGGGAGTTCCAGGTTGACTGCCTACCTATGTACAGGATGTATGTGCCTATCTCCCTTGCGCAAAGAAGCAACTCGGAGAGTAAGATGACATAGCCAATCCAACTTCCTTGACCTAACTTCCTGGCTGAGTGCAGACTGCAGACCAACGTGCAGAGCAGAGCCGATGAGTAATCGCCAGGCAAAAACTTTGCCGTCGTGTGTCATTTTACATTAATTATTCTCGTGCTCGAGTTCGAAATGAGGCTGCAACTTGCCACCACTTACGAAGGTACTCTGCTGGTGTCTGCTCTTGGGGCAAGGTGCGGTCATGACTCCTCGTCCCGACGTATGATGTTTCTTCTTCTCCCCGCCACCCCATCATCCTTCAGTTAGAGTCCGCCAGTCATTTCTTGGACCGTGAAGGAGTACTTTGTATCTGTAGAGATGTGTCATCTGAATAAGAAAGATAATGCACCTGCCTACCGCCTGCTCCGTCGTCCTGCTGCCACTCCCAAAAATAAAATAGGCACCACCACCACCTCGGCTTACTAGTCGGTACACTTGGTATGTATTCAATTGTTTCATTCTCTTTATGCTTTGACTTTTCTAGCACGGGGAGACGTAAAAGGGACAAATGCACGTCCCAGTCCCACTCTCTCACTATTGAATTATGATTATTCTTTAGTACGGGGAGAAAGTCTCTTCTTGCCAACTGACCATTGATGGCCTGGTCCGTGTGACTCCGTGGCTTTTAATTTGATCCTGAGATGGGGCTGCTTGCGTTCGTTCACTTCGTTGGTCACTGTTCAAGGGGAACTTTGTCCACTCCATGAAGTGGTGGTGGGTTTTTGAAGTTTCCCCTGGGCGATGGGTATTTTCATTTTCATTTTCATTTCTTTCTTGATTGATATTAACATCATTCATCCGTGTGTTTAATGAAGTGCCAATCTTCCAGAATCCCACTGGTATTGAAGGCCGATCGTCTCTAGAATCCTTCATACATATTACATACTCCGTCCGTATGCATTTATTCTTAGTAACCGCATCTACCTGAATCCATGGTAATCTCGCGTGTTCTCTCAACCAGAAACGGCTCCTGCGGCAAGTCTCATAATGCCAACCTCCCCCAACGGAGAACCCTACTAGCCTTATTGCTACTAGACTCTCCCGTTCCCGACCCTCCTTTAGTCCTTTTTCCCTCTTTGCCTTCTGGCCGTTGGACTGGAGAACCCCTTAAAGTCTTAAACAGATGCTAGCCGTACGTTAGCACTTAGCAGCCTACGGAGTACGCAGCCCTCGACCAAAGCAGTGCCGGACCATTCTTTAATTTAGATTTTCTGACTAATTGGTTCTGCTGAGATATCCGTCTGTAACCATCGGGCTGCACCGGTGAAGTTATCCTTACAGAATACAGAGCGCCCCGTACCCCCTCCCCATGCCATGCAATTAATCCCATATATATCAAAATGTGTCCATTGTCATTGGCTTGATCTTCCGGCGTAGCCTACCTAGTTATTCATGGAAGATTAATTATTAACGCGGGAATCAAAAGGGAAGGGGGGGAAGGATGCAATGTATCCGTAAAATCCGAATAATTATTACATCAGGGCTCCTTCTGTCCTTTTTTTTTTTTTTTTTTTTTTTTTTTTTTTTTTGGGTCTCTGACAGCTGAATAATCACTTCTGCTCTTCCAATCCTCGTCCGTTGCATCCAAACCGGCTCCACAGTCGCTGTTCTGGGCTTGAGGGTGGTTTCTTTGGTTCGGGTCACCGACCATCGTCACTGGGAGTTTTAGAGTACCACTTTTTTTTTTGTCTTCCCTTTCTGTATTCTACTGTGTGGAGTACGGAGCCCTCTGCACTCAACTTGTCAAGCTTCACTATTTTGGGTTACGGCGTACAACTACTCCTAGACTAACCACCGTAGACCTGACACTAACTGAATGATGGAGTTCATGAAAAAGGAAAAGGAATGCTTGCGATCATAGTA